AAAAAAAAAGTGAGTCTACGTGTGACCATCAACCCCCAGGACCCTGAGACCAGAACGAGATGGTGCCCGGCTACCACTGCCGACTGCTCTGAAAGGGATCACAGTGGACAGAGTGGGAGAAGGCATATGGAACAAAACTCACAATCATATAAAAGAGCTGGTTACTGGTTGGAGAAGCTGGTAGAACCGCTGAGACCAGGGTCCTTGATCCCTGTTCGGGTCTCACCCACATGGCTTGTTTTTCAACCAACAATTGTCTCTCCAGGGTCCAATAATACAAGTGGGGTGCATCCACCTTAGCATAACCAACCATTTGAGATCACCATCGCAGCACTTCCCCAAGGACCAAGTTTAGAAGGGATAGGAACGAGTTGAAAAACGGAAGCAGGGAGAACAGGGAGGAAGTGGGGTAGGTGATGTTACATTGAAGGGATTACAATGGATGAGGTGAAACAAAATGTGTATGAGTCATTGAATGCAAAACTGATCATCTGCTCTATACAGCTTTACCCAGTTCTAAAATGTGGAAGAAAGAAAAGTGGGATGATTTGTCCACAAACAACACTATCATCAGCCACACTAGAATTCCTTTTGGCCTCAAAGGCAATCTAATGTAGAATATCTTGCTATGTACAGGCCGAGAATGATGGTGTGGACATAAGATATAAGATCCCGGCATCCTGACGCAGCCATGCAACCCTTTGTGAATGAATCACAAGGCAACTGGTGTGCTGAGTGAGTGACCTTGTGTGGCCAGGAAACGAGATTTGCCTTATTTACTGCGGCTCCATGGTCTAGGCCGCTTCCCCATCCTGAGGACCAGTGGCGTGGCACGGGGTGGAAGAGAGGGTCTTCAGGTCAGGGGAAATCGACCTGGAGCCTCAGAGAAAGGGCAGGAGCCTGTTGAGTGTGAACACACCCGCTGGTGCCGGAGACCTCTGGGGTTGTTGAGTAATTGGGTCACAAGCTGACACCTGAGGCCTAGGAAGGGGTTCGATCCGAGGGAAAAGGAATCAGCACTCTGATTCTTCACCACCCAAACCCCACAGGCTCCCTGCTTTGTGCAAACCCTACCGCACTCAGCTACTCAGTGAAGGGTGCCTCGGAAGAAGGCCGAGCCAGCTCCCGAAACACCAGCCACGGTGTTTGGAATGGAGAGCAGTCCTCCTCTGACGCGTTTGGGCTCACTCTACGTGGGAGTCAACCCGACAGCCACTGTTTGTGTCTGTAACTTCTCCCTAGCCCCCCTCACCCCTCAAAGACAGACGAGGGTCCTGATGAAGAATCCCCGAGAACAATGGGAGACACGCCCCACCCCCAACCCTGCTGCCCCACTTTTGCTTAGGTCAGCAGCATTCACATCCTCTCCGGAGGAGCCAAGCAGTCCTTCCAAAGCTGCCAACTGAGTGGCGTTTCAAGCTGAGGGGCACAGCACTTGCCAACTCCCTCATCCCATCATACATTCGTCTCTGCGCAAGGCAAGGTCTCTGCCCGTCATGTGGGCTTGCCTTTGCTGGCGGCTCTCACAGACACGTTCTTTTTCCTGCCTACACGGGACAGCACTAGCCTGAAGTCAAATTGACTCCCAGGAAAGCAAATGGGGCATCGATGCAGAAACTCAAGGCACTGGGGAGTTCAAGATGTACAGAGGCCGCTTGACTGGGAGAAGCGATTGAAAGATGAAGCAGAAGGGGGAACCGATTACAGGGACCTACATGGGACCTCCTCCCTGGGGACGGGCGACAGAAGAGTGGGTGAAGAGAGATGTCGGACAGGGCAAGATATGACAAAATAATAATTTATAAATTATCAAGGGTTCATGAGGGAGGGGGGAGCGGGGAGGAAGGGGGAAAATGAGGAGCTGATGTCAGGGGCTTAAGTGGAGAGCAAATGTTTTGAGAATGATGAGGGTAACAAATGTACAAATGTGCTTTACACAATTGATGGATGTATGGATTGTGATAAGAGTTGTATGAGCCCCCAATAAAATGATTAAAAAAGAAAACTCGAGAAAAAAACAAACCAGAACGATGAAGCAGACAGAAACGGGTTGTGGGTGACAGCACGTGAACCTGAAGAACGCATTGCAACGGAGGGTTTCGATGGATTCACTGTCAGTTGCCCCCTTTCAAATGCTGACAGACGTGTCACAAGCCCTTCAACTGGCTTTGCAAACATGGAAGGGGGTGTCTGTCGGAGAGGGCTTGCGTAAGCAGAGACTCATTTCAGAGCAATCGAAAACACAGTCTAAATATTCTCCACCACAGGGGGGAGAGGGGTGGTGGTGTTGTCTAAAAATATTGTTAGGATGGACATTTGTTCCACATCTTATTCTCTCAGAAGTTTTCACCTTATTGCTCAGGTTAGGGTTTTCATAGACCTTAGGGAGGCTTGAGAGAGAGACAGGGCATTCTTTTGCCTTGAACAGCTGGTCTCCAAGCCCACGGGGGCAGTTCCACCCTGTTCTATGGGGTCGTGATGAGCCAGCATGGACTAGATGGTAGAAGTGAGTTTGTTTTTTTGGGGGTGGCAAGACTTAATCCCCAATCAGGAGAACTCGGTTGTACATTTAAGATCTACAAAATGGACTGCTTTGCTCTGGTTTTATTTAGAAATGTCATTAGTTGCCATCAAGTCGATTCCAACCATCGGCGCCCCCAGTGTGCACAGCAGGGTTTGCAAGACCTTCTGGAGGCAGATGGGCTGCTGCGTGCCTTCTTTCCAACACCAAACTTTCGGCTGGTGGAGGAGGGCTGAAATGTTTGCAACAGCCAGGGGCTCATTTATTTTGCATGGGGACAGGTCAAACCGTTTCTGCCAGAGAAATTAAAGACGTTAAAAACAACATGTTATCTTGGTATGGTGGGGTCAGCTCAGGCACAAATCCATTAAGGGCAGTGCAACATCCACTAGTACAGCACGGGGAGCAGAGCAAGGAAGTCCCGAGGGAGTACCAAAAATAGACTTTGGGGCCAGGGCATGGCACCCCATCACACCCAACCGGAAAATACTCCTAAAGGTCAACAAACAGACCTTGAACTATTTACAGGCTTTTTTGGTTTGGTTTTGTTTGGGGTTTTTGTTTTTTTTTTGCTTTTGTGTGTCATTGGTTTTGTTGTTGTTGCTGTCATTGTTTTGTTTTTCTGTGTCGCTTTGTTTGGCACTGTCTTGTTTTTATGTGCATATTATCTCTGCAAGTCTATCTAGATAAGATAGGCTGGATAAACAATGTGGAGAAGCAAACAAGGGTGGGGGAGGACATGGGAAAGGGTGGGGGGGAGAAGGAAGTGGTGTTAACAAACCCAGGGGCAAGGGAACAATGAGTGACTCAAAACCAGCGAGGAGGGTGTGGGAGGCCTGGTAGGGCGTGCTCAAGGGCAATGTAACCAAGAGGAATTACTGAAACCCAAATGAAGGCTGAGCATGATAGTGGGACAAGAGGAAAGCAAAAGGAAATAGAGGAAAAAACTAGGAGAGAAAGAGCATTTGCGAGCCAATTAAACACACAACTTTCCTCTTTAGTTCTTTAATGCTCCCCCACCCCCACCCCGCCCCGCCCCGCTCCACTACCATGATCCCAGTTCTACCTTACAAATCCGGCTAGACCAGAGGATATACAGTACAGAGAGGAACTGTAAATACAAGGAATCCAGGACAGACGAACCCCTCAGGACCAATAATGAGAGTAGCAATGCCAGGAGGGTAAGGGGAAGGTGAGGGGAAGAAAGGGAGAACCAATCACATGGATATACATATAAACCCTCCCCGGGGGACAGACAATAGAAAAGTGGGTGACGGGAGACGTCGGACAGTGTAAGATATGACAAAATAATAATTTATAAATTATCAAGGTTCATGGGGGGGAGGGGGAAAATGAGGAGCTGATATCAAGGGCTCAAGCAGAAAGCAAATGTTTTGAGAATGATGAGGGCAACACGTGTACAAATGTGCTTGACACAATGGATGGATAGATGGATTGTGCTAAGAGTTGTACGAGCCCCCAATGAAATGATTTAAAAAACAAACAAACATGTTATCCTGGCAAGTTCCATTGCTCGGTGATTTTTGAAATCTTGCCAAACCGATGCCAATGTGTACCACTCTATTATGCTGATCAAGGAGCCGCTTCTGCAATTATTCTGCTCAACCTACCTGCGTGGCATTTCACTTTGAAGCTTATCTGGCTTAAAAAAAGGGGGGAGGTATCGAGATGGGGGTTGCCCCAGAAGATTAGGATCCTCACTCTACATTCTGATGTGGCAGGTCCCATCAGCTCACCAAAACGAACAGGAGAACCTCATTGCAGTGAACTCTAACTGACCTCCAAATTGTTCCGCTGCAGGAACATGTTCTTGGCTGGCTGACAAACGATTGACACGGGGGCTGGCACTCATGATCTGATAGAGGAGGTTGCTCTGCCAGCTCCTTTGTCTCATCATCCCCTGGACCAGATGGAGGGTTGTGGGCTGGCTGCGGTGGACAACCTCGGGCTTGGTGCAGTCCCAGCAGCATCCCCGCAAGTGTGGCAGGTCTCAGGGCCCTGGCCCCGCTACCCGTCGTACTTACCTAGCGAGGAAGGGAGCCTTCTTCCTAAAGGTTACATTTGCTTTATGCTGCTTTGGCATGAGCGCATCTGGAACAGTGCGTACAGTTTGGGTCCCCACCTTTCAAAAGAGACACCAAAAGGTTAGAAAAGCATTTCGCAGAAGAGCACAGGAGGAAGTGGAAGGCGAGGCGCAGGCTGCCTGCCCCGCCGCTCGCGATGCCCCGCCTGCCTGGGCTGTGGAGGTCTGCTGGGTGACCAGATTGTCAGACTAGTCTCCTCCCTGATCTTTAACCTCCAACGTTAAAAATATAGACATTAATTCACCTGTGAAATGGCATGATTAGAATGCAGAAGTAAAATTACCATTCAACTACCCTTTTAAGTAATGAATCCATTTCACAAGGACAATGAGGCCTGGAAGCCAAACACACCCAGGCTGGCTACGCATCAGAATAAGCTGAAGACCCAGGGAGCCTTTGATTGAAGTTCTCTCCTAATTTCTTTCAGGCACCAGCTGTTGGACTCAAAGCAGGCTGCGGTGCCTCCTTGAAACCAAATCCTCTATAATAGTGCCCACACAACTTCTCGGCCTTCTGCAGCCGCCTCTGGAAGGACTGGCGTGGCTTGGGACAAACAAGCAGATCATAAAAAACAGCTTCCTGTGCCAATGTCGGCTTGGCAGCGGTTAGAGAGCTCGTTGTTCACTCCACTTCCTCTGCTCTGTCATGGTCGGCTGGCTCACGTCATGCTCAGTGCTTCCAGGGCCGTACATCTTAGGAAGCAGAGGGCCACATCTTTGCCTCCAAATAGTGGCCGATGGGTTCAAACTACTGACCTTTCCATTAGCAGGCATTCAATTAACCACCGTGGCACCAGGGCTCCGTGAGGTAGTGATTCCAAACCCAAAGCCAACTCAGGCACTCCCGTTGAGTCGATTGCGACTCAGAAGATGCTGGAGCGGCCATGCTCATCCACGCGCGTCACCTCCCCGTGCCCGTCCGAGGGGAGACTGCCTCCAGAGGCTCTGTGCTGGTGGGTGAAGCAATTCAAAAAGTAGTCACTGTCAGTCTCTAGCATACACGCAGGCTGTGCACCAAAAGGGCCTCTGGAGTGGGCTGCTTCCCATGGAAACCGCGCTGATGGCAGTTCCATTTCCATACAGTTTCACCCCTAAGGAAAAATTCAGCCTCTGCAGTAGGATGTAATAAAAACTCAAAACTTGGCCGAGCTAGCAATAAAGGAACCCCAGAAGACAGGAGGTTTATATTAACCGCCTTTACATTTTCATGAATACTTAAACCGGGTGGGATGAATTGGAAGATGTTTAAGCGATCCTTGAAAGGGAATCTGAAGTGTTCTTGTTCAAGGACTTTGAAGGATAGAAGAGAGGGCATGTATTATACTGATTTCATTTCAAAGAATGTAGCTGACACTTGCTCTCCATTTTTGCCCGTGGCCTGAGGTCCGTTGACACCATACAAAGGTATAAAGGGGGGAGGAGAAAAGGAAGAGAAAGAGAATGGGTTTCATGGGTGTGACAGGTAGATTTATTGTGCCAACCTGGCCAATGAACACGTGGGATTAATTGAAGAGCAGAGATAAATGGTTCAGCAAGCCTCGCCTTTCTTGTCTCTTGCGCTTTGATGATCAGACGAGTGTGCGGTTGCCTTACCTGGTTCTCTGCCTCAACTTGCGACTTATACTACCTGGGGGACACCTAACACGTGGACTGCGTCGCCATAGTTTGAGGTTCCTTCAAGACCTGCTTCACCATGCTCCTGGAGTATACTTCACTTGAGCTGGGCACTGTGGGACCCTGTCATCTGGCTGACTGTTGGTGACCTGCCTTGCTGTTTGCTGCCTGTGCCCAGATAGCCTGAATTGCTCTACAGAGGACTACCCGGCGGCCCTCAGGACTTGAAGGGCTGCCAGTTTATTAGCTGTCTTACGGAAGTGAGTTGCACTGAGCCATTTGTACTGTTCTATACATTAGCTATTTATTTCTTATGTTACATATATATATAACCATAAGTGTTTTGTTTCTCTAGAGAACCCTGTCTAGCATAATGGCATGTTGGGAAAATCTGAAGCAGTCAGGGAAAAGATGGTGAGGAACACAAGAGCGGCGTGCAGAGCACAGGGGAGAAATAAATGAGGGTTTAACAGAGGATCTCGAGCGATACCGTTCTCAAAGGAAGAAGGTATCACGCCAAGACATTTCTAAGACTGGTCACCAGGTGGTGCTAGGAGATCAGGATACTTTGAAGACAAAGCGGCACTGTCCTATGAGAATTTCTTTGGGAAACCTGACCCCATTTATCCTGCAGCCCGGATCTTGCCCCTTTAGATTTGTTGTTGTTGTTCTCAAAAATCAAATAACATTAGAAAGGAATTTGAATCCCGGACTGCTGTTTTGATGTGGTGTCAACTGAAGAGAGCAGGATTCTCAGGGAAGCGTGGAAGAGGTGGCCGAAGCACACAGACACAGATGGTGGCTGCGTCGACCCGATTGTTTGAAGGTTTTCTATGATTTTGTCGACTTTCAAGTGTTTAAGGAAACTGACAACACTGAAGCTCTCTCTATGGTCACATCGGAATTCTAGACATCTGAGAGCGCCATACTATGGCCTGAGGAAGAATCTCACTTGTACTTGCTTTGCTTTGTTTTGTTTTGATCTAGGGGTCAGAGAACTAAGGCCTGGGGACCAGAAGCCGCTTGCCACTCATTTCGGCACGTTTGGCGGTCTAGAAATGGTTTCCTCGTTTTTAGTGATGGAAGAAAAATCAAAAGAACAAATGATGACACGTGCAATTCCCTTGCAAGTCAGACTTGGCTGTCCATAAATAGATAATGTTTGACTGGAACACAGCCATACGCTTGCACTTACTGACTATGGCTTTGCGGGGCTACAAGCGCGGAGTAGCGCTGATGGATAATTTGGCTGACATAGTCTAAAATATTTAATACCCGGGTCTTTGTACAAGTTTGCAAACCCCACCTTTACTTTGATAATTAGACTCTACTAACCCAGAAGCAAAATACAGGCAATTAAGAGTGATTTTCTACTCTGAAGAAGAAAGTTTCATTTTAATCCCACAGCCCAAACCCTAACAGCTCAAGAATCACTAAGAATGTTTAATCTGATTCTTTTTATTCCCCTAAAAATACAATCAAATAACCTACATCTGGAAAATGTTATGAATTATGCTGCTCTGTCTCCACATCTTCTAATAAGTAACAATTATTGGCGACTGTTGAATTTTAATGAAACACTCAGGTATGTGCAGTTCCGAAGACGAATGTATCACCGTGCTGCTCAGACAAGATTGGGTGGTTCACACATGGTCAGAATGCCCTGAAGGCTTCTGGGAACGTCCTTCTCGGGGAGCGCTCGCTGTGCCGCCTTCGTCCTTGACGCTGTCCCCAGCACAGGCTGAAACTTACCACGTAAAGAACCATCTCTGGTTCTCAACTTCCTCATGGTTTTTGTTTGGCTTTTGGCCAGGTGAGTTCTCATCACTGAAGTTCTGCTCACGGAGTTTCTGAAATGTTGAACACCTACTCCGTGCTCTCCAAAGGAGCCCTGGTAGCGCAGTGGGTTACACCTTGCTTAGACTCCTAACCTCAAGACTGCAGTTCAAAACCACCAGCTGCTCTGAGGGAAAGAGGAGGCTTTCTACTCCCATAGAGTCTGAGACGCCCACAGGGGCAATTCTCCTCTGTCCTACAGGGTCCCTATGAATCAGAATCAACCTGATGGCAGGGAGTTTGGCTTTGGCGTTTTCTGTGACCCCCACCCCCACCCCAAAGTCTGTTTTCTTCCACATTGACTTTACCTTCTCGTTTCCTTTCATCTTATTTCTAAGACCTCTTGAGTCTAGACTCTAGACCCTTCTCTTGAGTTCAAGGGCTTCAGATCAATAAAAAGAAAAGGCTGCACGCTCACCTTCATAGCAGTAAATTCTATCCTTCACACTTTCCATCTTTAAACTACATTCACCTTCTCTGGAAAACGGGAGTGCTGCACTCCAACAGGGTGGGGGTAGGTCACTCGCTGCTGTTCAATTGGCTCAGGCTCACGGTGTGGCCTTAGGATGCCAACTTCACAACAATTGGTCAGTGAATCCAGTGTTATGGCTATTATCCAGTGTCCAATTTGTCTTCCAGCTTCCCGTCAGGCAAATATTCTGTTGTGGTCCTTCAAGTTTTCCTTGGGTAATTTTTGAAAGTAGATTGGTAAGAACCTTCTTCCTCATCTGTTTTAGCCTGCCAGGTGTGTTGAAACCTCTCCACCATGGATGGTCCTGCTGGTCACATGGCTAAGACGGGTGACATGGCTTCCAGCATCACAGCAAGACCTGCCCCAGGGCATAACAAACAGAATGACGGCTGGTGGTAGTTACAGGCTCACACACAGACATGTGGAATTAGCCTGGTTTTCCATTTGATGGGGCTTGATCACCAGATCATGGCCACTCTGTACTCAATTTCTATGTAACATGTGAAACATTCTTTTTTGGCCTCTAAATTTGTGGTGAAATGTAGGGGAGGTGGGCAGAGCAGCGAAAAGGGCGGGCCTCAACAAGATGAACGGCCACGATGGCCACCCTAACGGGAACAATGAGGAGGATCGCACAGAACCTGGCAGTATTTACTTCGATTGCACACAGGATGTGAGCTTTGAGCTAGGAGCTAGGAGTCACAGCAGACTCCCAACAAATTCACGGATGTGTTGATTTTGAGGTATGCCGACGAGAAAATCCTCCAAAGACCACTGTCCTACCAACGTCTTACTCCCGTAGACCTACACAGTGGTGGATACTCAAAAGGCTATGTCCTGCAGTCACGCAGGGTCACTATGAGTCCGAACCAACGCGCGGGCACCCGCACCCGCCTCCTGTTCCTCAGTCTCCCGCTGCTGAGTTTGTCTTGTCTGAACTGTCCTGGCAGCCTGGATTTTGTCCGCCAGGACCTAACAGCTCAGTGCACATTTGAGCAGGACTCTTCAAACGTCTTCCCGTGGCTCCGATTCCGACTCCATCAAACATACCCCTCGCCTCTGGATTCCGAGTCCTGGACATATGCCTCCTTTTCATTCTGGGAATAAGGCAAGCCCT